ACCCTTTAAAAAAAAAAAAATTTAATGGCGATCTTCCTTGCATAAAAGGTTTTAATGGTATGTTTAATGAAATTTAAATGAAGGATTTTAATGGTTTTTCAAAATTTTGAATGAAGTGGAAACTTTAACAAAGTAAACAAGTGGTGATAAAGATTGAAACCCACCAAATTTTTTTGTGAGTTATATTTCAAATATGATTTATTAAAAAATATTTTATATATTATTTCAAAATTATTCATCTCTCAACCTTCCCTCTTAAAAATACCTTTTATGTAGAATCAATTAACGATGATACATTAACACAATACATTCTCTTGAACTGATTCCCCTACTTCAGAACCTTCTAGTATTATAATATCTTGTCAAAAAATAATTCCTTTAATATGGATGTGATATGAGTCCATTGAAGATGATAAACAAAAGAGAACGAACAACTCATCTTTATGACAATTAAATAATTTGTTAGGGTAGGTTATATAAGTCAATGCACCTTGACATTCCAACTCAGTATACTATAATCTATACTTTATATATGATTAAATTAATATCATACAAAGAATTAAAGCAATCTAGACATAAACAATTACAGGTAGACACTGGTACGATTACGCAATAGAGTTAAACCTAAATTATAGGCATTAATGAAGAGAGGCATGATCTAAGTTAACCTAACATCTTATTTTGAATTCTTTGGTATATTTCGTTAGCCCCACAATTTCTTTATTTCCAATTTGATTACGATGCTAGTAGATATATGCCTATCATGTCATGCCTAACTTGTATAAAATATGTAACAAAAAGATATTATTCGTTTACAATATGTTATAATTCTAACGTTTTATGTATTGCAATTGGTAATATTGTTATTATAAGTTTAACATATAGTATGTTACGCCTGGGAAATCAAGGGCTGACGTGAGAAATCGCGTGATGGGGTGTGGCCTGCTCCCGTCAGAACGGTAAGCACATGTCAGGCCTGCCAGACGCTATGGGGGTTCCACGTGTCCATTCCCTGCTCCAAATCGCGTGAAATCAGCTTGGAAGGTGGGTAATGTGACGTAAAGCCAGATTTAGTTCTGATATTCACACCAACACATGGATTTAATGATGATTACTTGCACTCATCTCATTATAAGAAGAGGAAGACCCCTTCATTAAGGGGATTCAGCTATTTTACACTCTAAACTAGCTTTCTCTCTCTCTCTCTCTCTTGTAACTTTGTATTTACTTTTCCCTAATCATTTGTAGATCAGTCCGCTGTTGCGACCTGACCCACGATACTAATACAAATCAGTGGACGTAGGACTTGCTACTTTAGCATCTGAACCACTTTAAAAAGCTCTCATTGCATTTACTCTACAATATATCCATAATCACGTGTGTCTCTTGACCAATCAACGCTACGCACGTGTTGAGTAGTTGGTGTTAAAAATCACGCATCAACATAGTGTTATTATAAATTATTCTCATGGAACAAAAAAATATATGTATATATGCTTGAATCTTGTGTCATTATTTTTTATGTGGTGCTTCATTTTGTTGGGTATTATCAATTCGAATCATTTGTTTCAAAATTTACACAAAAGGAATATAAGTGCTAAAACCCACAGAAAAAATGGGTCATCAAATAGACCTTGATTATTAAAGATTACATCAATTAACAGTATAAATGTAACTTCAACTTATTAATATAAAGAGATCATAGTATTTATTTTATAGTTTTTTAATTTAAAAAAAAAATAACAATTTTTTGCTTTCTTAAGTTAAAAGGTATTTGAATCTTAATCCAATATTCTATTATCTTAATGAATAAGATCTTTTATGTATGTTGTGCAAACTTTTAAAACGGCCTAATTTGTGCCACTTGTCCATAAGCATACAAAGATCTAACAATCAGGCTCGCTCCATGTGTCGCTCCCACAACATATGACTTCACCAACAAACTTATTAAATATGAGTGTTCAGACTTAAGCATGGGCGGGGTTAACTTAGATCCAGATTACGAAGTATTATGTGTGTTACCTATTCCCTAACAACAACCCCCAATCACTATCAGACGGTGTGTATAAAAGAGAGGCACAATCTCCGTTTTAGAGGATCGGTTATTCACACAAGAACAGGAAATCACTTAGAGAGAGTTTTAGCTCGCTATTACGTGTTTTCTTCCTATAATCTCCTTGTGTATACAACAAATATAAACAATAATATAACAGTGGACGTAGGCATGATTCAAACCCGTCAAACCACTTTAAAAACCTTTTTGTTCTCACTTTGTGGATTCTCCAATCTATTTCTAGCTAGTTATTCATAATCACAAATACATCCAATCTAGTCAAGTTCATTCACATCCTTGGAAGGTATAAAAAAATTCCCCCTATAATTATATTAAAAAAAAAACACTTAAAAATATTAAACACCTCTTATAATAAAATTAGCATAAGGTATTTAACCCTTTCAAAAAATATGTCTCATTTTAAAGATTTCACAAAAGTAAACAAAAATAAAAAAGAAATAAACCCTAATCAATAATAGTACCCTTCATTCTATATGTATTAATTAGAAAATGTCATGGGTTTAAATAAGCAAAGCACTATTTAATTAGCAATTAACATTAGAAGTAGAGGTGGGTCATGACCTAGTAATAATAGTGACCTAATTTAATCACATGTGCATGAACAGACACGAAATAGAATTAGAATAATTTTCCCGAGAAACATAGAATGGCTTCTGGTGCCTCCAAACTAGTAAAATTGTGCCACATAATGAAGAAAGAAGAATAGAAAATAAAATAACATAAGAAAAAAATAACCGACCTTTCTGCACGATGATCCCCACAGCCGCCGACCACCACTAACTATTAAGTCTTATTTGCTCCATGTTTTTCTTTTCTTCTGCCTTTAGGGGTGAATTATTATTAGAGTAATATTAATATTATGCATACAACTCAATCTTATAACCTTCTTTTACAATCTCAATGTGGCAGTTAAGTTGACGACTATCACGTCAACTTTCATTATATTCAGTGCACTAAATAATTTTGACTAAACATGAATAGTAGTTTCTTAAAGACGAACAATTGTTCTTTTATAAGAAATGATTGTTCCTTATGAAAGAATTGTTGTTCATTCTTAAGAATTTTGTTGTTCCTTAAGAATGAACAGTTTCGCCCCTAAGGAACGGTTATTTGTCTCTAAGAAACAACCGTTCATGTTTAATCAAAGTCGTCAGTTAACGTGATACTACCAACTTTGCTACCATGTTAAGATTGTAAGAAAAGATTATGAGATTGGGTTATAAAATTAGTATTTTTGTTATTATTTTAGATATGTATTTGATGGATACCTAAGAGGGAAATTTTAATTAACTCTAAAAATCAATTATCGTTTGTAACAATATCAAACATATATTCTTGTATGTTTTTGTGGTTATTGTGTGTCTAACTAGACATATTCTGGAATATGACCTACCAACACTATGCCATTTATAAAAAGCAATATGCCCCAACTCATCATCATAATCTTGGGGCCTTTATCTTTAAGAACTGAACTTAGTGGAATTTCAATTTGACCAATAAAATAAATAAAAATCCGCCATTAATGATTCAGAATTAAGTGGTCAAACAAACTTTCTCTTTTATCTTTCCTTTACTTTCTTTGAAAGTCACCACATGGAGATCATCAAATATGCTTTCTATCAAATAAAATTAATAGAGGACAACAATTATTCATCAGGGCCCAGCCCTCCTTAATCCACCCATGTCACTTCATGAAGTCAACCACATTGCGAAATGAAAATGTAGATTTAAAATTGGTTGACTCTTAAAACATTATCCATTCATGCTGAGTTGGTACAAAAATAAAATCAAATAAATTAAATATAGATCAATTTTAAAGAATGATTCGTGTGGCTGCTCAAAAATCAATATTTTGATGGAAAATGGAAATTTCATGAGCTATTTTCATTAGTTTGGGCCTTCAAATACATTTGGTTAGGACAACAATCCATCACTGTTCATTTTTTTTTTTTTTTATCACGGTGTTCGAGTTAGTTTGTATTACACATCAAATACGAATCTAAATGGTCATCCTATTAATGTCTGGAGAGACTCAAACTCAATAGCTCATAAAACCTCATTTTACCTTTTTACCATAAAGTTACCAAGTGGTGGTTTAAATTTAGAACAGTACTAGTCTTACAAAGACAAATACAAAAGGGGCATATAAAGACAATTATTACCCTTGATCTTTATGATTTCTCTCTCTTTCTCTTTTTTCGTTATTTCTTTGTATTTTTCTTCTTACTGATGTCACTTTATAACCCTCTTTGTATTGTCTTTGTAAGGATAGCATTTTTCTTAAATTTATGTTTATAAAAAGAGGTTGAGTAGATAATAAAAATCTGTTGAGATTTCTGAATGACAAAAATTTCTATGGTATTAAGTTTCAGGTGTCCAAAATAAATAAAAGGATAATTTGATAAATATTCATTAATTATAATCGTATAAATTCTAACGGCTCATCAACAGCAAGAAAAATGTTATTATTAGATCAGACCTCAAGGGTGGATGTCTAACTCTATAAAAATGTTTGGAATTACTAAATACAAGTTTTAAGTGGAACCACATGATTAACCCAAAAAAATATGATTATTTCGCAATAAAACTTTGCGGTGAAATAAGTAAAGTTTACTTTAGAATAGTAAATCTTGACACTGTTATGCTAGGTTATCATAAAAAGGCAATGAATAATAATTTGATTCCTAAATAAGTAAATAACAATTTCATCTTCACTCAGCATTGAACAAAATAAACCTCATTTATCTGCAGTTTCTTATTACTGAATGGGAATGTATCCAGAACTAGAGAATTCACCACCATTCATGCTACCACTACAACAGTCACATGGATGACAAACACAGAAATCTACGATATGACTAACTACAGAAGATTTTCACGTATCATTACCGAGTAATAGATAACTAGGTAATGTAATTTTAATCCATCAAGGCAAAAAAGGAGACATGTTATATATGAGAAAGAACAAAAAGTTTAAGGTGCCTGAATTACATTGCCAAACTACATCAATGTAGAACTTAGTCTATACTTGCTAACTAACCTCATAGTAAACGAATCAATTTGCCCAGAAGCATTCTACCATTTATAACAATAGATGCATTTTTCTCAACCAAGTCTAAAACATCAAATACTTATGCACCTTTAGCTGACTTTTGTCCACTAATAAACGTGCCCACTGCTCTGAACCAACGCATCAGATTTCGATTATCCTTCACATAAAGCCATGCTTGAAGAAATGGAAAGAGACTCTCATCTATACCTCGCTCTTCTATGTAACTGTGAAATGAATCTCTCATTTTTTCATCTATGTCTCTGTCAATTTGCAAACAATTCCCAGATGAAGTGTAATCTTAAATGCATAATACAAGCCAGTATATGTTTTTAGAGCCAATTTAGTGATACAGAAGCTACAAAAATATTATCAGCAAAATTAAGAAATTGCACATGAAATCCTAAAACAAACATCCAGATTCAGTAACGCAATGAGTAAGATACAGTGATTTCTGCCTCCTGGGTTACATAACTGTTCAAGTATAATATTGCAAGTCATTCTTCTCAGCCTAAGTATTGCTTTAGCTACCTGACCTAGTGAAATTATGCTAGTAAATCTATGGGGTAACAGTATTTGCATAGTTTCTGAAACCTGGAACATCACACCTATAATAATTACAAGTCATAACCCAATCCAAGATCAATCAATCCATGTAATAAGTCTGGCAGTCAGAATGCAAGGACTCAAAAATTGCAATCCTAAAAGCCACCTTTAAAGTTGCTCACAGCTGATTTATAAATCTTATACATGGCTGGAAATACCAAGATGATCAACAGCATAAGAAGGTAATTAACAATCAATATATAAAAGATAAAAAAAGAAAACCAAAATAAGAACAGCAATCAAACTTACCCGAAAACAGGGCCATTATACTTAGAGGGAACAGCAAGAAAACCCTGGCTCTCATGCTTAGGCCGCATGGAAACAGAGTGAATTCCCAACGCATCAGGATACAACCCACAAAGAAAATGCAAAGAATCATTCTGGCCAGGCTTTGAAACAACCACATGAACAAACAACTGATTAATTCCATCATCATCCTCATCACCACCTCCCACAACGTGTGCCAACCGCATCACAGATAGACTAATTTCTTCATCCCCATACATTCTCTTAAGAACTGGCCCATTGCCTTCCATTGCCCCCGTTACTATTCCAAAAGGTGAAGGAGGACTCACTTTCTGTAAACGCACAAATAGCATAGAAAAGTAGCAAATTAGTCACCAAAACCAATGGACTGCCCCATCACTAACATTTGCATCCTACATGTACTGTTACTGGAATAGACAAGTTTAGGCAATCTAGTAATCTACAATATTCAACATCAAATTAACAGCAAAAAAATGAATTCTAACAATACATCATTGATAAAATATTTAATATTGATCAAAATCCCTGAAAACCAAAACCCTAAACCCTAAACCACTTACCAGAATGAGCATCATCATTGTCATACTAGTAACAGTACATTAATGGATATTAAGTAAGATGTTGCCAGCTACGTTACCCGAGCATGTAAATTAGCAAAATCCTAAATTAAATTAAGTGGGTTTAAACTTGTATGAAGTTGTTAAAAAGCAATGAATCAACGGTAAGCAAAAAAAATAAATAAATAAATAAGCATTACAGGTGGAGGATTCATTTTGGCGGCTTCCTCGTAATGTTCTTTGAGAGAACGGAGCAAGATTGAGTCCACGGCGGAGGAGACGGAGGTGGAGGTGGAGCGGCGGCCGGTTATCAACCGCCACGGCGCGTGCTGTGCACAACCAGCTATTGCTTTCCTAAACATGTTTGCTTGCTAGAAGTTTCAGTCTCTTTCGCTAGACTTTAGGTTAAATAAACCGAGTTGAGTGGGCGTCCGAACTATGATTAAAAAGGGGCATCCTTAAATACCACAAGGGTGTTTCTGCAAAAATATTAACTTACGAGGGTGTTCAAGGACTAAAATTAAAAAAGGGCATAGCGAATGATTTGATTAAAAGAATAATTATTCTACCGCTAAAGACCCCTTGTCAAGGTTTTTTTTTTTTTTAACATGCTTAGAAGTTAGAAGTTCCAGACTTCCAGTTTCTTCTTTCTTGTTTGTTGGGCTGTTTTAGGTTAAATAATTTTCAGTCTCTTTCACATATTAAGATACTATGGAGGATGAAGTAACATTTGCATTAGTAGATGACACCAGTTTCACTTGTAATTCTTACATTTCCATTAGTATTGGACACAATGAGGTCTCCATTCAAGCTTCACAATTACATGATTTACATAATCCCCACTGATTGTAAAAAATATATAAATTGCTCAAGTCTCTCCTCCATTCAAGCTTCCGCCAATCTTAATATCAAACAAATTCATCAAAGCACAGAAGAGGGAGGCATCCGAAATTTTGTGATCCCATATCGGATAAAATTACTAATATAATAAAACCCTCATCAAAAGTCAAAACACGTTATAAATAGGATTCTATCTAATACTTTAAAAAAAAAGCATCACTTTCTACCATATAATTGATTGCCCGGGGAAAAAATATTAAAACCACACCAGAATCTGAAACAAAGAAAAGGAAAATTGGCAAAGGAATAGAGAGTTAAATTTTAAGCGAGGACAGAGGATAAAATTCATATCCATTTCTTTTATGATACATATAACAGAGTACAGAAAAGGATCCAAGGTACAACTGCCCAACCTGGAACCCCTATCAACTAAAATACACCACAAATGTTCTTAGATTTTGCTAGTAAGACTGTTACAAAATTGTGACAACTCATACCTGGCAGTGCAACCATAAAAATTTTGCCCAGAAGAAAGTTGTAAAGGAGAGACATGATCGACATATTTCAAAACCCTGCGACGTCTGACTTATATTTGCCAGCACCAAACAATTCCAGTGACTAACCCAACAGCAAAGCTCATGCTGTTAATCTCTTGTCCTTGATTTTTTTTTCTTTTCAGCATTTGAAATAACCACGGCCTCCTAAAAGGAAACCAAATTACCTGTCAGAATTGTTGTATTTACTTCTTCCTGTGCCTGCCCTTGAGTTTCACAATTTTTCTTTGAGACTTGTCAACACTGCCGCTGCCCAATGAGAAGCTACCTCCAGCATTGAAGTCTAAACTACCAGAAGCCTGAAATGGAGAAGGGTTCTGGGGGGTGGCTAGACTCTGTTGGCTTCCAAATTGGAAAGGATTTGCTCCTGATGGAGTTGTTGAACCAAAGACAAAGCCAGTAGAAGGTGTCATGGGTTGTTGACCAAATACAGGAACTGCTGGTGTGGACGCCTGAACTGTGTCCTCAGCCATGCTGTCTTCCATACCCACTTGATCATTATTAATGTTTGAGGGAGTAGAACCAAATGCAAACATAGAACCCGCATTACCAAAGGTAGGTTGCGATGAGGTGGCTGCTGCAGCTGAAGAAAACGGAAAAATGGAACTTGATGTAGTATTCGTAGATGACCCAAACAAAGGAGCACTGCTAGTAGCAGCAGACGAAGCTGATCCTCCAAATTGAAACCCAGTTGAGGGAGTTGAAGAGTTGAATGTTGAAGCAAATGAGGGAGTCTTAGGGGCTTGCCAACTGGAACCGAAGACGTTGTTAGTAGGGCCACTGGTGGAGCTGATTGGGTTGGCCTCTGATGAAGAAGTGGAATTTAATCCAAATGTCGGAGTTGAACCAAAAGGTTTAGCCACAGAAGTTGAGGAGCCAAATAAAGAACTGCTAGAGGAAAAGGCAGGATTCCCAGCCAACCCAAATGACGTAGATGACGAAGTTGATCCAAATTGATTAGGCATGCTCTGAGTTGAAGTTGCAAGACCAGTTGCATTAACAGATGCCTGCGCACTTCCAACACTAAAAGGGTTAGAAACTTGAGCCTGGTTCGTAGAAGCTGAAGAAGTTGCTCCAACACTGAATCCAAAGATGCCACTTCCAGTGCTTGGGATTGCTGAAGATGTACCGCCAAAAATACTACTTCCTGTGCTTGCAATAGGTGGAGTTACAGCACCAAANTTTATGTGGTGCTTCATTTTGTTGGGTATTATCAATTCGAATCATTTGTTTCAAAATTTACACAAAAGGAATATAAGTGCTAAAACCCACCGAAAAAATGGGTCATAAAATAGACCTTGATTATTAAAGATTACATCAATTAAGAGTATAAATGTAACTTCAACTTATTAATATAAAGAGATCATAGTATTTATTTTATAGTTTTTTAATTTTTTTTTTTTAAAAAAAACAACAACTTTTTGTTTTCTTAAGTTAAAAGGCGTTTGAATCTTAATCCAAAATTCTATTATCTTAATGACTAAGGTCTTTTATGTATGTTGTGCAAACTTTTAAAACGGCCAGATTTGTGCCACTTGTCCATAAGCATACAGAGATCTAACGATCAGGCTCGCTCCATGTGTCACTCCCGCAACATATGACTTCACCAANAGCTGAAGGAACTGCAGTTTCAGGTGTTTTAGAAAAGATTCCAGCTTTTGAAATAGTTCCATTATCAGCTTTATCTGATTCAGGCACTTTTGGTACAGAATTAGTTGCAACAACAGGAACAGAAGTAAAGCTGCACAGAGAGAAAAATAAATAAATAAATAAAAGGATTTCTAATAACCTGAAAATTATAACTGAGATAACTCCATACAAATTTCAATATATACTTGCTGAGAAGCGGGGCCAATAGGAACAACAAAAGAAAGGAAAGATATACAGTGTGATATGTCAAATATAAAGACTGGTATCATATCAGCATCAGTTACTGACTGACACCCAGCAAAACCATACATCCTCGTAAGCAGGAGGACTACACTCATTCCAAATACCATAACAGTAGATCCCCTATTAGCAATCAGCCACAACAGCCATAATTGCAGCATCATTTATTAGATAATCACCGTATCCTAAGGCACATTACTAAATAATACAAAAGTTCTTTAATAAGTAAAAACTATAAAATTTGATACACAATTTGCAGAAAAAGATAGATAATGGAATACTGATTTGAAAGGATTGTTGACTCTAAATGACAACCTCAACCTGCAGCTAACACACAAGATATGCATTGAGTACAACACACTCAAACCATGTCACAACACATTCCACTTGCAGGTTCAATAACACAGATAGAATGTATGATTTATGTTCGTGTGTCTGCCTATCATATCTAGTTATTAATGATGATCAGAATCTGTAACTACACTCAATTACCAAAACATTTAAACGCTTTCACAAGAAGACAAGCATTTCACATTTTTTTAAGAAAGAAAGAGATTATCATTGATTGAAACAAATAATCAAAAAAGAGTAACCTAGCTACCCAAAGAGAATATGAGAATTTCACTCTCTGTGTATAGCATTTGACTTTCAGAAATAATCTGTTTTTGCAGAGAAAAAGTATAATTGTTTGGATTCACTAGATAACAATGCTCTAACACTAAATTTCTCATAGTACACAAAGTAATTCATTGAATAATATGCAGTGGGTTTGACAAGATGATCTTCACATTAAAAGCAGCATTTAATAAACTGACTTTAAGCAGTAAATATTAAGTGTATAAGATATCACAAATGATCCTATACATTACTTACATGCAATTAAGAGACAACATGGAGACAGGTACATAGCAATGTCCTGAAATCCAGGCATAAAGTATTTCTCAATAGTAGATTTATATCTTTATACACAGCTTTACAAAAATCAGACCCTTTTCCTCCACAGTCTTTAATGGCCTCTTTTAAGGCTACTCTTGTCATGCTACAGTAGCCTTCTTCAAACACAAGTAAAACGTTGAAATCATTTAAGGAACTCTTCTAAATTGAAAAACCTTAATTCCTATCAGATGATTAATTGCACAGCTCAAAAGCAGTAAGCTTGGGAGCATAACAAATTCAAGAATAGTAGGGCATACAAGTAAATTCTGCTACAGATATTAAAAACAAGTGTGAGCATTTCAGATATAATTTTGGGCAAAAACACAACGTCAAAGCCAGTTGTATTTTGTTCAAACAAATTTAAATTCACTACAATCTCATAACCGCCCCAGTAGCTTTTTCTTCCCCAATAAAAGAGCTTCTTCTATCTCCTATTAGTAAGAATTTGAAAATACTAGATGTAAGGAATTTGATCCAAATGAGGTCAGAGAATATCAACAACCAAGGGTATGTTGTCTTAATTTCTTCTCAAGTCCTCATAGATAGTGTAATTAACATCCATGTTGCAGATTTTGTCACAGTTCCATAAATATATGCAAGATAACTAGTGCCTCCAATGATTGAAATAAAAACTACCATTCAAGGTATTTAGAAAATCCCACTAACTTATAGAAACAATTTCACTCAATTATGTCATAAGCATTATCACTGTATCTTTTTGTTTTATAGATAAAACATGGACAAAATGAGCCTTTATCCTTCCTCTACTTATCTCAAACAAAGAATAATAAACTAACAACGAAAAGAAGGGATATGCAAAAACCGCACTGACGTTTTCAACAAAATAATAACAATGTACCAACAAAGAAACCAATCAACATGTTATAAAGATAATCTTCTACGAGATAAATAGTACAGCCTGTACCAACCTCTTTAAGCTTTCAGGTTTTTCTTCCAAATGAGTGCCAAATTTTGGTGTAGAAGATTCATTAACTACCAATGTTGCAGATGTTATAGTAAACTCTGGTGCTTTATCGACATTTGTCTTGCTAGTTCCAAATGTGGAAGAAGCAACATTTGAATCCTTTAGTTTCTCTCCAAAGCCAAATATAGGAGCAGCACTTGGTTCATTTGGTAAAGTTGCTTTATTAGAAGTCGAGGTTGATGGAGCAGCTACCACAGCTGTCTGTCCAGTAATGCTGGAGGAAGGTGCAGTTGGGAAGGTAAATAGAGAATTTTTTTCAGCAACTACAGATCCATCATGAGTTCCGATATCAGACGTTTTGTTCAATACAGAATTTGGGGTCTTAACTTCAGAAAGAGCTGGAGACTTCTCCACTTTAATTGCTTCATCAGCAGCAAACTTATTCTCAACCACAGGGACATCTAGTTTATCCTTCCCTTTCATCAAAGGAGTAGATGCAGTCCCATTAGAATAATCATCATCATCTAGCTCCAAATAATCCTAAAAGAGAAAAGCAAGATATTATTTAAAATAGAATGAGCAATACAATGATACAGAAAATTATGCCACCCATTTATTAAAAACATACATTTTGTCCAGTCTTCTCAAACCCTGCATTACAAGAATAGTTCTCTTTCCATATACTAAGAAACCATTACAAATTGCAATCAACATGAAACAAATTTAGATAATGGGAGTGTTGAGCATGAAATTATAATTGATCAAAATGGAGAAGGATTGCCAGTACAGTTGTTGGATTTATCACCATTGGTAACCTCAGATGGGTGCAAAACCAAAATTTTTCATGTTACAAAAAGGAGACTTGTGGTCTCAGGTGTGTTAAATTGAATTTCAATTGGAAATCTAATGAACAGCAGAAAGAAACCACACAAAAGAAACCATCAAACAGAACAGATGAAAGATCCAACCAAACAACACAGACCTCTTGTGCACTCATCTGGAAACCTCGTTTCTTCTGTGGGCAAGGATGCGAAATGGAGTTTGACAAAGCAGAATCTGTAGTTTTAGTGCTAGGCACATCATCCTTGACAACACCAGCAGCATCTAACCCATTCAGACCAGAAACAGCCTTTTCAAAAGGAAAACTAAACTTGGTTGGGCCATTTTCTTCAACCTTATCTTGTTTTTGGGACGTAGAATCTCTAGCATCAGGCAACGAGGTGTCAAGTGAACCACCTGACCTATTATTATCTTGAACATTTTCCAGAAAAATTGATGAATCAACATTCTCCAGGCTTTTAAGAGCTGGTCCATGTAGCATTGATGGCGACAACTTTGTAGGCGATTTCTCCCTTGAAGAAACCAACTTATCTAGTTGCTGCAGTATTTTAAGAGCTGTCTCACTGGACTTGGAGGGAACAGGGGTAAAACTTGTACTAGAAATGTTGTTATCCCCTTTTTCTGTTAACATTTTTGTAAATCCATGCTTCTCTTCACCAGATAGCTGTGGCTTCTGTATCGAAGACAAGGGCTGTTGAAGAGCACTAGAAACACCACTTCCACGCATAGAGAGAGCGCTTCCAGAAGCTGGCAAGCTTAAGTTTCTTGAAGTCAGAAGGTTAGGCTTCTGACGAATTCTACGTATGGGACCAACAGAACCTATATCATTGTCCAGGACTGAACTCCTGCGTTTTAGAGTCTACAAAATGACGTAACAAATCATCAGTGATGAACTTAAAAAAAATAGTCCAAATACAGAACACAATTAATTATTTCCAGCATTTGTACCCCTTGTTTAGGTTCAGTAAGTCTGTTCTTCTCCCAGATGCTCTGAGTTGATGATGATGGTCTACTAAGAGAGTCAACTGCATGACCAACACCCTGAAAAAGAGAAGAAGAGTTAAAATATTTGAACTCTAGTAAACATCGAAATTCTACACTCATGAAATTTTTGCAGCATATGGACCTTAAGGGTAGTGGTTGAGTGAATTCGGGAATATGGTGTTCGTGCCATATTGTATATTGCAGATCTGCCTCGGGATCTAGGAGTCAAAAAACCATTTTCAGTAACACCAACATGGCCAGATGATCGCGGGACAAGAGACATAATGGGTGCTGCAGAAGGTAACACTCTATTGTTTAGCACAGTTGACTCTTCCTTTAATGCCTGACTGCGCACACCTAGCATTGACGGGGATACTTTAGAAGGCCTAGTTCCCATGTAAGCTTTTGCAAGCTCTGCAGGTGAAGCAACATCCTCATCAACGACCTACAAACATTTTAGCCACCAAATGTGAGTGTTGCCGCAATAAAATGCACAGTTTCATACATTTAGATCCATATTCATGAGTAAGAGTATCATCAGAACCACCAAATAGCACTTCTAAATATGTAAACCAGAACTAAACTTAGACATAGAAAAGGTTTCCTACACTTGAGCTCACAACAGGAGTCAAATTGTGTTGACTCACAATCCCATTTTCTTTTAAAGGAGTATTTAAAACTGGCTCCTTATTCTCGTGAAATGCCTGTTGATTTGAAGGGATCACTTCAGACCTATTCTGCTCATTGTCAAGAGGCTTATCGGTGGTTCTTGATTGCAAAAGAGCAGTCAATCGATCAATCTCGGATCTGAGGCACAAAAATCAGAAAGGGGCAGTCAGATTTAAAAAACCCTCTTAACAATAAACATTTTTGAGCAAATTTCCAGAAAGAAAAAAGTTATTAACCCAATAAAGTGGGGGCAATTCATTTATTCTCTAATCTAAGCATCCTAAACTGAAGTTCTAAACTGGAGGATGACAAGTCGTTCAGATATGAATATATACCAAACAATTATCCAAACAGGTATACTGCTTTGAATAATATAAATATAAAATTATCTTGACTGTAAAACCATCAAAATATGTGACTCATTTCCCCCATATTGGAAGATCAAGCTTTTCTTTTTTCAATCCTTTTCCTTCTTTGCCATTTTATGTATCTATTTTAGGATGAATCAGTTATGGCTACCACAGCTGTCTGTCCAGTAATGCTGGAGGAAGGTGCAGTTGGGAAGGTAAATAGAGAATTTTTTTCAGCAACTACAGATCCATCATGAGTTCCGATATCAGACGTTTTGTTCAACACAGAATTTGGGGTCTTAACTTCAGAAAGAGCTGGAGACTTCTCCGCTTTAATTGCTTCATCAGCAGCAAACTTATTCTCAACCACAGGGACATCTAGTTTATCCTTCCCTTTCATCAAAGGAGTAGATGCAGTCCCATTAGAATAATCATCATCATCTAGCTCCAAATAATCCTAAAAGAGAAAAGCAAGATATTATTTAAAATAGAATGAGCAATACAATGATACAGAAAATTATGCCACCCACTTATTAAAAACATACATTTTGTCCAGTCTTCTCAAACCCTGCACTACAAGAATAGTTCTCTTTCCATATACTAAGAAACCATTACAAATTGCAATCAACATGAAACAAATTTAGATAATGGGAGTGTTGAGCATGAAATTATAATTGATCAAAATGGAGAAGGATTGCCAGTACAGTTGTTGGATTTATCACCATTGGTAACCTCAGATGGGTGCAAAACCAAAATTTTTCATGTTACAAAAAGGAGACTTGTGGTCTCAGGTGTGTTAAATTGAATTTCAATTGGAAATCTAATGAACAGCAGAAAGAAACCACACAAAAGAAACCATCAAACAGAACAGATGAAAGATCCAACCAAACAACACAGACCTCTTGTGCACTCATCTGGAAACCTCGTTTCTTCTGTGGGCAAGGATGCGAAATGGAGTTTGACAAAGCAGAATCTGTAGTTTTAGTGCTAGGCACATCATCCTTGACAACACCAGCAGCATCTAACCCATTCAGACCAGAAACAGCCTTTTCAAAAGGAAAACTAAACTTGGTTGGGCCATTTTCTTCAACCTTATCTTGTTTTTGGGACGTAGAATCTCTAGCATCAGGCAACGAGGTGTCAAGTGAACCACCTGACCTATTATTATCTTGAACATTTTCCAGAAAAATTGATGAATCAACATTCTCCAGGCTTTTAAGAGCTGGTCCATGTAGCATTGATGGCGACAACTTTGTAGGCGATTTCTCCCTTGAAGAAACCAACTTATCTAGTTGCTGCAGTATTTTAAGAGCTGTCTCACTGGACTTGGAGGGAACAGGGGTAAAACTTGTACTAGAAATGTTGTTATCCCCTTTTTCTGTTAACATTTTTGTAAATCCATGCTTCTCTTCACCAGATAGCTGTGGCTTCTGTATCGAAGACAAGGGCTGTTGAAGAGCACTAGAAACACCACTTCCACGCATAGAGAGAGCGCTTCCAGAAGCTGGCAAGCTTAAGTTTCTTGAAGTCAGAAGGTTAGGCTTCTGACGAATTCTACGTATGGGACCAACAGAACCTATATCATTGTCCAGGACTGAACTCCTGCGTTTTAGAGTCTACAAAATGACGTAACAAATCATCAGTGATGAACTTAAAAAAAATAGTCCAAATACAGAACACAATTAATTATTTCCAGCATTTGTACCCCTTGTTTAGGTTCAGTAAGTCTGTTCTTCTCCCAGATGCTCTGAGTTGATGATGATGGTCTACTAAGAGAGTCAACTGCATGACCAACACCCTGAAAAAGAGAAGAAGAGTTAAAATATTTGAACTCCAGTAAACATCGAAATTCTACACTCATTAAATTTTTGCAGCATATGGACCTTAAGGGTAGTGGTTGAGTGAATTCGGGAATATGGTGTTCGTGCCATATTGTATATTGCAGATCTGCCTCGGGATCTAGGAGTCAAAAAACCATTTTCAGTAATACCAACATGGCCAGATGATCGCGGGACAAGAGACATAATGGGTGCTGCAGAAGGTAACACTCTATTGTTTAGCACAGTTGACTCTTCCTTTAATGCCTGACTGCGCACACCTAGCATTGACGGGGATACTTTAGAAGGCCTAGTTCCCATGTAAGCTTTTGCAAGCTCTGCAGGTGAAGCAACATCCTCATCAACGACCTACAAACATTTTAGCCACCAAATGTGAGTGTTGCCGCAATAAAATGCACAGTTTCATACATTTAGATCCATATTCATGAGTAAGAGTATCATCAGAACCACCAAATAGCACTTCTAAATATGTAAACCAGAACTAAACTTAGACATAGAAAAGGTTTCCTACACTTGAGCTCACAACAGGAGTCAAATTGTGTTGGCTCACAATCCCATTTTCTTTTACAGGAGTATTTAAAACTGGCTCCTTATTCTCGAGAAATGCCTGTTGATTTGAAGGGATCACTTCAGACCTATTCTGCTCATTGTCAAGAGGCTTATCGGTGGTTCTTGATTGCAAAAGAGCAGTCAATCGATCAATCTCGGATCTGAGGCACAAAAATCAGAAAGGGGCAGTCAGATTTAAAAAACCCTCTTAACAATAAACATTTTTGAGCAAATTTCCAGAAAGAAAAAAGTTATTAACCCAATAAAGTGGGGGCAATTCATTTATTCTCTAATCTAAGCATCCTAAACTGAAGTTCTAAACTGGAGGATGACAAGTCGTTCAGATATGAATATATACCAAACAATTATCCAAACGGGTATACTGCTTTGAATAATATAAATATAAAATTATCTTGACTGTAAAACCATCAAAATACGGGACTCATTTCCCCCATATTGGAAGATCAAGCTTTTCTTTTTTCCATCCTTTTCCTTCTTTGCCATTTTATGTATCTATTTTAGGATGAATTGGTTGGCTGGTTTTAGGGAGGAAGGATGCAAAGACAAAAGTAAATATATCACTTCTCAACAAACAACTACCAAATGCAGGGCTACAGATACTTACTCAGTTTGATATATTACATCCATCATTGATATATTACATCCATCATTGATATATTAACATCACGCAATATTTAGTATTCCCAGATAAAGATACTATGATGACAAAACAATTATGCACAGATTGAAGTCATAATGCATTAAATATCTTACTACAGAACTTTCCTAATGAAGCCAATTTAAATTATTCCAACTTGCCTTGTAAAAGTCTTCCGCTTCAAAATTTGCTCCAGTTCATTGAGGCCTTTATCGGGACTATTAGTAGGACCATCATGACAGTTAATGGCTCCTTGAACACCAGGATCATCCTTCAAGGCACATTTGCATACAACAGAGAAAATGTATCAACCAGAGTTTATACAATAAATAATATATTGTAACAATATGAGGCACACTACGAAAGAAAAGAAAGGCCGGAAATAGTTCCCACAAACAAAAAGGATAAACACGATAAATGATAATTGATTAACCCACAGAATTTAGATATTCAAGTATCTTCTGCTAGAAAAATTACACCCCAAGTAAGCAGCAAAGATGCTCATCGCCCAGTATTTATGCTAATAATATTGCCACAAACACTTAAAGCCTAACAAAGCTCACTCAATATTTGCAATCAGGACAACTGAAAATCTACTCTCAGGAATACTACTTTAAACAGCGTATTTTGGGAGTTTCAGGTCTAATATATTAGAAGTTCCCAATCACTTTCTTTCAACACTAAATCTTTATATCATCAATCAAACAACTAACATGGCTATCCAGAAAAGATGAGGAAAGATTGTGCAAGGATTTATAGACATACAGTAAAAAACTAACATGAAATTGTGCCACTTGAAGCCCAAACTCAGCTATTCAATTAGGCTTCCTTTCCACTATATGAACTATCAACAAAGAGAGTGAACACAAAATAGCAATAACCCATGGAGTAACCATTTAAACTTACTGTAGAGACTGGCTCCTGGTGCATTTCCTGTGCTTCGTGATTTCCTGCTGAAACTGTAAATTCACATGTTACAATGTTCAAATATTGATTCATATATTATCACAGAAAACAATGATAATAAACTGCATTTGTAAAAAAAGAAAAAGAGAAAGGTAAATCAGCAATTTATGACTCAAATTGACAATTGAAAGTATGTCAGCAACATAAAGGACACAAAAGAAAACAAGCATCCTGTCCGGCTGAATTACCACTACACGGATAATAGATCATTTTTGTCACTACAAGCTTATCATTTCTCAACACAATTAGAGTACGTTTTATGCACCTCTCTTTGAGTTTTCACTAAAATACAAGAGCTTAAAATTTGAAATTAATCAATAAAAAACTCTCATGAAATTATAAGAATCAAGATAGCCCCGAAGAAAATCACAAAAACTTCTCGCTTCAATACGGTTTGTCATAAAAACCTCCCTAGGGAAGTTGCAGTAACTAAACCAATGGGATCTGTCAGCATTTTATTCAAATCCCATGTCTTTATTTTAATCAAATCTCAAAAGGAGGTGAAAAACAGTTACCTTTAAGCAAACTGTCTTCTGTAAGAAGAATTAAGTTCAGCACATCTAATACCACAGCTTTCAAGAACTAAAGATCACATAACTCTCACCACTTCACAAGACCCCGAGGACATACTAGTTAAAATATTACATATTCAGGGGAAATTTTAAACAAGATGCTATTATTTGAAGATTGACTCCCTATCAAATATGAAAATATAACTTGTATTACACGAACCCATTTGAAGCCTAAAACTAATTCTCTAAAATGTAATGAAACAATACTATCTGGAAAGTGAATATAATTCAAAAAAAATGAATAAATAAATAGAATATTACACATTTGCCAAATAATTCCTCATTCTCACCAGCCAAAAAAAATTATTCATTACTAACACTATAAAACAGAAAATTATTCAAAGTACATATAAGAAACATTGAAAAAATTAACACAATCAACTAAACCAAAAACCCTAATTTTCACACGATAAACAGAAAGCCCTAACACAGACCACAGAAAAATCACTGCTTTCAAGAACAGACAAACAAAACAACATTTCATGAAAAAATAAATTCCAACCTGGTTCAGGCGTTGTCGACGGTGGGGGTGGCGGCGGCGGAAGTCGCTTACGAAAAACAGAGCCGAATAGGCGGTGAGCACTCGAAACAATGAGTCTGTGGGCTGGATCAACGAGTTTCGACAACCAGCCATTATTGTTATTAATATTAACATTGGCGGGGTTTCTGAGCGCCGCCGATGCGGGAGGGCGATCGTACGGCGTGGATTGCGTAGTCCTCCGAAATGGCCGCTTTCTGAACTTTCCTCCGGCGCCGAAACCGCTCTCATCACGCGCCGTCGCCATGAGAGAGAAAGACGGGGGGCAAAATTAGGGTTTGGTATTTTGGGGATTTTGAAAAAGGAAAGAGAGAGAAAGAGAGCGAGCGAGAAGTGTAATTAGGGTTTTTTGTTGTACAGAAAGAAAGAAATAAAAAGGAAAAAATTATTTTAAAAAAATTTGTTTTTTTTTATTGTTTTTTTTTTTTTTTTTTTTTTTATATATTTATTTATTTTTGTATTTATGGATGATGCAAAGTGAAATGTACGTGATGATAGAGATGACAGTCAAGTAGGACCATTAAATGTGTGACCAATGGGGCCGGCTCCATTATCTTTGGGAATTGCTAACTTGCCGTGGTGGGTACTGTTACTCAAAAAGGGACCATGTCATTAATCAATAATCAATATAATTTTTATAATAAATAATTAATTTGAAATTTGATACTGATATATATAAGTAAAAAAACTCTAATAAGGCATAATTATAATTTAATAACATATTTAGGGTGTTGGTTTATGAAAATTAGCTTAAAGTACCAAGTGCTTATAAGCATTTGAAATTTTAAGTAACTAGATAGCACTTTTGCGCGTTGCGCGGGTTTATTTTATATTGTTTTATTTTATTATCAAATTTTTATCTTTAAGAAATTGTAAATGATTATTGTTTCACAAAAAAAATATGTCAAATATTGATTAATATAACATTTTGTTATTGTTCTTTATTTTTTAATCGTTTTTTATGTTTAAAGATTGCTGAGAATCGTTATATGATTGTCATTTGGATGTCGTTAATTGGTTCCCGGTTTGCTGCTTATTGGTGTTGATAAATAGGGATGATTCACATGCATTCAATTAATGTATACAGTACATATCTTTCACATTCCTCTTTTAATTTGATAAAATGCAAGTGAGGAAAATTGAAATGCTCAGTTTGTAATTCAGCAGGAATTGAATAAATTTTCAATACATAGAAGTTGAAAGTCCCGCAACTTATGAAAGTGGTTTTGACACAATAATAATTAATTGAAGACAAATAATACTGGAACATTTTAGTGATAGAATATATTTCATTTTCAAGCAAAAGAAGAGTTGCAACACTTTTCTTAACAATTTGGTACATAATAATATAATTGAAATGACATTTTTTCCCTTCTTAAAATTAGTAGTTCCTGCATGGAATATAACCATTGCTTTGAGGTCCAACAGTTAATCTTTCACACACTTTTAAAGGTTGCCCAATACTATGAAATGAGTAAAAAAAAAAAATAAAATAAAACTTATCATCCTTCATCATCTAACACAAACTCTATTCGCCACAAAACAAAACTATTACTAGCTACATAGTCCACACAAAAACATGTTAACCTATATAGAAGGTAAGTTTGCAACTTTTTATATAAATAAATGCTTCATTGATAACACTTTGCAATATAACATTGTTTATGACACAGAAAACAAAATAATGGACAATATATATATTTTTTTAAATGGTTCATACTGTGTCTACGCTAAAAAAGAAGTGTTCATTAATTTTCCGAAGTCACCCCCATCAGCTCACTGTGACCATCACTGCCAAGGTTGGCTGCATACTAAAGGAATCAAAACTGAATCAATTTACATTCAGAAATAAATCAGTAATATATAAAATTTCATAAACACATGGTTAAAGTAGCACCTGTGAGTGGGGCAATGGCTGGCTACACTTGGAATGACCACTTTCGTTGCTGCTCAACAGGTGGTGTATAGGTTTGTTGTTGTCGGTGGAACAACTCTTAGTCAAGCACAAAGAGAAGATGGGAACTGTAGTTCCAACTCCATGAATATATCAAAAACTGATAATGAAAAGCATCATTAATTCTCCAAAGAGCTTGATGCTGGGCTAGTTCGTCCTCAAGTCAAGAGGTTAATCAAATTAGCCAATATGAATATGAATATCCAAGATTTGTCAAACATCCACATATTTTTTATCCAAACTTAAGTTCTACGCAAAAATTCACTAAAAACTTAAAAATTTATATTTGAAAAACTCTTTCTGCAAGAATTTTGAGTTATACCAAAGAAAATAATGGGTTACTAATTTAGTTTGGTTGCATAAAACACCAAAAAAAAAAAATTTCAGCTGCTTTAGACATTAGAAAACTTAAGAGTAAGTGCTTTTAAGATTACACTAAGTTGGCACTAAATCATCAAATTTTTACTCTATAAAAAAAAGATTACCTTTCGAATATGGTCTCTGCTTTCCATCATGTTAGCTGCTGATTTGAGAACTAATCAGTTCGTTTATGATTAAAAAAAAAAAAAAAAGACAATTAAAAGGATGTTACTCATTTATCCCATCACACACACATGCACATGCACATATAAAACCACATACGATATATGCATTAAATGTGACAAAGTAAGAAAGTTGTGCATTTTTGGAAGCTAATACATTGTGCAGTAGCTAAACATATCTATCCAATTTGATGGAGATCTATGGATAAAACCATACCATTATGCTGTGTATCATAATCAATCTATAACTTCACATGGAAATATATGTAATGTATGAAAGAATATACTAACATTGACGGAGTTAGAATGCCATCACCATAACTATGCTGGTTCCCAAAAGCACTACCAGTAGCAATAGAAGTTACTCTCACTCCTCAATTGATCTTACGTTTCATCTAGTTTTCTAGCACGCTCTTGTATTATACAAAGGGTTGCAATCTCACAATACAAACATCATAATTCACGCCTTAGTCTAACATATCATAAGAAAATAATGAGAAGGAACAAAAAAAAAAAAAAAAAAAAATGAAACTTGTTAGAATCATTCACAATGGCTTCAAAAACAACCTCATCAATCTACAGGAATCTCATTCAATTAAATCACAAAAAAAGTCAAACACTGCATCAAATTTCCAATAACATTTGAATTCTTCACACAAGCATACCCTAGCAAGGCCAAGGCTAACACGATCGAATCTTGAAATCAACATCTTGAACCTCATAACATGCCCTGACTCTTCTTCCTCCACAGAAACAACCTCAGATTCGACTCGAGAAACACCTTCCTCGAGATGAACACTTACTCCAAAACTTCTCCTCTAAACATTACACATGACTTTGACTTCCCACAAACTGCCTACTATCGCCTGTTTGCAAATTCCCACTTAAACTCCATCTCTCAACACCCGCAAACCCGATGAAACCAATCTCACATATCGCCAATAGCCAATCTGCAAAAACAATTTGGATCATTCTGAGAATAAGGTGGAATTTTGAGCCGGGTTGACGGGTAACAACCAACCCCGCCTGAAAAAATGCGAGTTAAACCCGGCAGCAACCCCCGGCGGGTCGGATTGCACAATGGCAACCCACAACCTAGTGGGTTGCTGTTTTGTCTCTTTTGCAAGAGACCTGGCAAACCCGCTGGGTTGGCTATGTGTACCGGCCGTTTGTACTTTACAACCCGCCACCCGACGGGTTGTAACGGCCAACCCGGCGGGTTGGCCGAAAAAATAAAAAAAAATTTTTATTTTATTTTTCAAATTACCCTTTTACCCTTGAAATATAGCCGTTAAAGGTCTTTTGGTCATTTTTCTTTCCCTTTTTTTCCTATAAATTGGCCCTAAACTCTCACATTTTTCTCACAACTCTCATTCTCTCGTATTCTCTAATCTCTAATCTCTCAAGTCTCAATTATTCTTATTGTTTTTTTGCAATTTGCTCATATTTTAATTTTTTATTAGTTTTGCAATTTTTAATTCATATTTCTAATTTTCCAAATTCTAATTTCCATACTCCAATTAATTGTCAATTATTGCACTCTTTTTTCCTTACCAAATTTTGTCCTATTGGGTTTTTCTTGGTGAGGTTTTTAACGAGGCAATAATTATTGTAATTTCTTATTTATTTTTTAATAAATGAATAAATTTAATTATTCTTATATTACAATTTTAATGTATTAAAATTGAATTAATATTTGGAATGTTAACCAAAAAAAAATTTATTTATTTAATTATTGTATTTTGAAAGAAATTAACAATTACATTTATAAATTGTTAATTATTCATTTGAAAAGTTAATTAAACATTTAAACTTAAATAAAATAAAACAAAACAAAATAAAAAAAAAAAAAGTCAAAGCGGTTAACCTGGCCCAACCCGCGCCTAACCCGGTAGGTTAGGGTTGGCAGTCCGGGTTGGGCCAACCATTCTCTAATGTTGGCGAGCCTAACCCTGCCCCCAATGTCGCCGGGCGAGTCAAGACTGACCCACCATTTCAGCAACCCGCCGCAGGCAGGGTCGTGTCGGGCCGGGCGGGTTGCTTTTCCACCTTTATCTGAGAACAAAAACAACTGTAAACGTTTAGTTCTCATGTCATTTTAAGGAACATATAAAAAAAATCAATATTTAAATCTAAGTCATTGAATTATACAAAGAAATGAATCATTCAACACATATAGAATACGTTGAAGTTCAATTGTTGAGAAACTTATTCACTACTTAATTAAAAAACTTTTAAAATTTAAATCCAGCCCATTAAGTTATACAATGAAATGGAATCTTTAAGAAATGAATTAAAATGTGTAAAATAGTAATGTAGAATTATGCATTAATTGTAGATTAAACAGTATTTATATTAGTTTCTGGTATCATCATTCAGTGGGAACAATATACTATGATCCTTTTATCGATTTTATTGATAATAGAATTGTTTATATATATAGTTCTATTTTTTTCCTTGAGGAATACCAAGTTCCTTTTCTTTGGTAATAATAATGGATTCACGTTTCCGTAAATCGAATATTACATATATGGTTGAGCCTGTTATTTCTAACAAAGCATTCATTATATCTCTGTTCATCACTCTGGCAGTGTTGAGTTTGTCCAGCGTGACTTTAAGGTTTTGTAGAATACCTTCCAGCTTAGGGAACCATCTGACGTTGCTACTTGACCTGCTAAAAATAAAAAAAATGGACCTGTAAAAGTAGATATGTAGAAGGAATATAAGAGTAATCATTTGATGTTATTTACCACACGCTTCTGTTTGTTTGGATTTTGGATTGACAATAGTTGGTCTTTTGTCTTCTATTTGGTAATGGTATCTGGGTGAAATGAAAGAAATATTTGAAAGTGTATGGATTGTTAAATTCTG